TGTTTTAAAAATTATTGTCCTTCCCTGTGTCTTATAGGATGTATGATTCTGTAAGTATTCTTCCAGGTTTTTGTTTTTAAAATTTTTACTTAAAAACTTTTGTATTTTTTATTTTTTTTTAAGAGAGAGAGAAGCATTGATGTGTTGTTTCACTTATGTAAACATTCATTGGTTGATGCCTATATGCTCCCTGACTGGGGATCAAACCCATGGTCCTGGTGTATTGGGATGACTCTCTAACCAACTGAGCTACCTGGCCAGAGCTCTTCCAGGATTTAGGTTGTTGTCTTTTCCTGGAACAACCAGGAACTATGGACTCCTTCCCTTGTTCCTTCAAATTTGGTTAAGAATGGGTGTTTAGCTCTCTTCCTGGCTTTTAGTCCTAAGGTGGCTACTTACTGTCTGTGACCTTGAGCAGGTTTCTTAACCATTCTCCTTTAGTTTTTTCATCTATAAAATGAGAAAAATAATAATTCCTATCTCACAGAGTTGATGTGAGGATTAAATGAGTTAATACTTTGAGTTACATAGAAGAGTGCATGGCATAAAGTCAGCATTCAGTAAATGCTAGTTATACCATTAGCATAACTATCCTCACCCTCTTTTACCCACTTGATCACTAAGATATGCCAGTTTTTCTTTTCAGATTCTAGAGCAGCAGTTCTCAATCTGGGGATCGAACGGCCCTTTCACAGGGGTCGCCTAAGACATAACAGTAGCAAAATTACAGTTATGAAGTAGCAACGAAAATAATTTTATGGTTGGGGGTCACTGCAACATGAGGAACTGTATTAAAGGGACGCAGCATTAGGAAGGTTGAGAACCAATGCTCTAGAGCATTCATTTCTCATTTCCCATTACTACTGGGAATGCTCTACCATTCTAGAGCGTGACATTCTTACGTACCTCTTGCCACAATTTCCAAGAGAGCTTTATGTAACCTACTTCTAATGTGTCCTTTGTGCTCATGTTTTTTAGTGCTAGACTAATAAAAGTTTCCAGTTGTCACTCTCCTGCTCACAAGCATAGCCTTTCAGTAACTTGTATTATCACAGCAAGGCTCCTGTCTGACTCGGGCTTGGCACTTCTCTCTTGTTCCACTCAGGCCAGTCTCATATCTTCTCCTCTGCATCATGCGCTTGGACTTGCTCATGTTCTTTCTTCAGCCTGTACGCCCTTCCTTCATGCCCTTGCCCTTCTAGTCTTACTATTTCTGTCCTTCCCACACTTTAAGAATCCAGTTCTAAGAAGCCTTTCTGAACTGAGCTTGGGTAGGAACAGGATTGGTAAAACTGAGAGGCTCAGCCTAGAAGGACAGGTTGATTTAGAGATCAGAGCACAGGAGTCAGGGCCTTTAAATTCAAGAATGGAAAATAGGAACTAGAGTTTGAAAAGCAAATCTAAGATGGAAGAACCAGTTTAAAGTGTACGGAAGGGAAGTACAGGGATAGGCTATGAGTGACAACTGAGAGCAAAGCAGTTTGGAAAATCAAAGATGTAATTTGGGTTTGAGGCAGACCGGAGCAGATCCAGATGGATCACATGATTTTTAAGGTCCACATGGCCAGGCAAGGTAGCATGTTTTTGAATTGACAAGGGGGAAGCCAGTAACATTAAGATCAGAAACAGGTGTTAGGAATCTGAAGCAGTTAGTATTGGTCTCTTGAGCCCTGGAAGACTGGAGACATAATCAGATAAAATAGAGCCCCTGATTAAGCTAGAGTATCAAGATCAGCACAGGATAACAGCAAAACCGTATTTGCTGAGCCATTTCCTTAAGATTAGAACTGTGTTGTGAGAATATTCCTATATCAGGCAACTTGATAAGCTCCCTTGTATAGAGTGATTACTATTCATCACCAATAAAGTGATTTCAGTATGCTTAGTGTATGTCCCATAATATGTAACTCCTAATTAAGCACATCGCTATCTTGTATTGTGATTGACTTATGTGAATACTTTCACATCTTGAACTAGTTCAGATGAGGGTCATTCTATTTATTTATTTTTATTTTTAACCCTCACCTGAGGTATGCTTTTATTGAGTTTAGAGAGAGGGAAATGGAGGGAGGGAGTAAGTGTGTGTGTGTGGGGGGGGAGCGAGAGTGAGAGAAAGAAAAACAGAAACATTGATGTGAAAAACATCTATCGGTTGCCTCCCAGGGGATCAAACACACAACCTAGTTATAATGCTCTGATCAGGAATCAAATCAGCAACCTTTTGGTGCATAGGTTGTTCCTCAACTGCTGAGCCGCACTGGCCGGGCTGGAAACCTACTTTTGTTCCACCTTGTAGATTAGTTTTTATTTTCTAGAGTTATATAAATGAAATCTTATAGTATGAACTCTTTTTTGTATTGTTAATCCTCACCCGAGGATATTTTTCCATTGATTTTTGGATAGAGTGGAAGGGAGGGAGGTTGGGGGGGAGAGAGAGAGAGATAAATATCGATGTGAGAGAGACATATTGACTGGTTGCCTCCCACACGACCCTGAGTACGGTCGGGGACTGAACCGCAACTGAGGTACATGCCCTTGACTGGAATCGAATCCTTGACTCCTTGGTGCAAGGGCTGGCCCTCTAATTGCTGAGCCAAACTGGTCAGGGCCCTATTAACATTTTTAAATAATTGTGGTAGAATACACATAACATAATTTACTACCTTAACCATTCTGTGAACAATTCAGTACAGTGGTAAGTACATTCATATATTGTGTAACCAATCTTCAGAACTCGTGCAAAAAACAATTACCTATTTGTTTATATTTGGTTGTTTGTTGTTTTTGTTTTGCCATTTTTAATGTATTCAGACATAAATCCTTCATCAGATACATGCTTTATAAATATTTTCTTCAAGACTTTTTTCTCTCTTCAGGTTATTAGTCATCTTTTTTTAAATATGTTATATTGTATATTTTAGTGACAGAGGAAAGGAGAGAGGGAGAAACAGAAACATCCATGTTGGGGATGGGGAGGAGGGTGTCAATGGGGTAAAAAAGGAGAAACATACATAACAAAAAAAAGAAAGAAAGAAACATCCATGTGAGACTTGCCTTCTGCACGCCCCCTACTGGGGATTGAGCCTACAACCTGAGCAAGTGCCCTGACTGGGAATCAAACCAGCGGCTTCTTGGTGCATGGGACAACGTTCAACCAACTGAGCCATACGAGCTGGGCTATTGGGCATCTTGAAATTGGTCGTGGTGGGCAGTGATTTACTCCACATTAATTGGCAAATTGCTATAAATCAGGGCTTTATTTTTTGTCAAATTTCTATCTTTTTTTTTTTCAATAGAGCGAGAGAGGGAGGAAGAAAGAAAGCGAAACATCAATTTCTTGGTCCACTTATTTATGCATTTGTTGGTTGCTTTTTGTATGTGCCCTGACTGGGGATCAAACCCACAATCTTGGCATTGGGAGGACGCTCTAGCCAACTGAGCTACCCGGTCAGGGCTTGCTTTTCTAAAGTAAATAATCGGGATAGGTTAATAATGCATATTAAACTTATAATTATGTTGTGTCTGTAGCCTTTATCTTATGAATAGTACAGAAAAGTGAGGAAGGAAATAGTCTTTCGAGTATTTGGAAACTATTCCCTAATCAGTAAAGAAGTCATTCAAGTCATTGTTGAATGAGTGATGTCTTCATTGTTTCACTCTTGTCAGTTGCAGCCCTACCTTGGCTATGAATAAGAGTTAAGGCAGTGAAAACGTCCTGTGACAGTTGGCTATGTGGAGTATGCAATCAAGAGTATTACAGCCCTGGCCGGTTTGGCTCAGCGGTTAGAGCATCAGCCTGCGGTCCTGAGAGACTCGGGTTCGGTTCCCGCTAAGGGCACATACCTCGGTTGCAGTTTGTCCCCGGCCCTGGTCGGTCGTGCGGGTGGCAGCCACTCGATGTGTTCCTTTCACATCGATGTTTCTCTCTCTCTCTCTCTGTTCCTCTCTCTCCCTCCCACTCTACCTGAACAAAAAATGGAAAAATGTCCTCAGGTGAGGATAAAAAAGAAAAAAAAAAGAGTATTACATAGTTTTCATTATTTGTATATTGTGTGGTACATATCTTTTTAATTAAATAAAATTTATAATAAGCTTATTTACATATATGTATACTTTTTTATTTTTCCTGCAGAGCCAGTGTTAAGCATTTACCAGTATACCACTGGCCACACACTAATAAGAAAGCACTAAGGGAAATGTTTCTAGACTCATGTAACTTGAATGAATCAAGGAAGAAAAATGAGTTCCAGAAACAGTCATTCTATTGGTGATAAGAGGCCCAATATAATGCTGAGACTAGAGGGTGAAAGGGATGTGTAGTGGAGAGAGAAAATGAAAGACATAATACACAGAAGGCCAAGTCACTTCTCTTAACACTGAAGATACAAGGGGAAGTGAATTGTTACTTATAGGGTATTTGTTTTGGTCTGATTTGACTTGTTCTTGGTCTTATCATTGTTATGTAATAGTCTGCCAAAGGTATTGACGAGGAATGTTAAAAATTCATCCATCATTAGTGTTACATTAGCAACTTCAAGTAAACCTTGGAAATCTTCAAATCTACTTTTTTCCAGACCAAAAAAAATTATAAAATACTTTTAAAATTTGGAATTGGAGCAAAGGCCCGGCCGGTATGGCTCAGTGGTTGAGCGTCGACCCATGCACCAAGAGGTCACAGGTTTGATTCCCAATCAGGGCACATGCCCAGGTTGTGTGCCAAATCCCCAGTGGGGGGCATGCAGGAGGCAGCCAGTTGATGTTGTCTCTCATTGATGTTTCTCTCTCTCTCTCTCAAATCAATAAAGAAAACAAAGTTAAAATTGGTGCAAAGAACAATTATGTGTTTCCTATTATCGTCTAGAAGTTTCATTATTAGTTACATTGCTTTTAATCTATACACTTGTTATGTTTACCATTGTTATTATATTCCTTTCAAAAGTTATTTTTTCAGAATATCTTGCTTTTTGCGTCTGATGATTAAAAAATATTTTGTTTTGTAGCCATGCAGGATATACATACTGTGGGTCTTGTGCTGCTCATGCTTACAAACAAGTGGATCCATCTATTACGTAAGTAATATAGTTAGAGACCATTTTATTATGGGATAATGCTGGGAATTATATCATAATTGCTTTGTTGCTGAAGTAATTTGTTTTGCATACTTATTGTTATACTCTATTTCATTAGAAATTTGACTTTTTATAAATGTGATTGTATCTTTTATAGGTTATAGAAAGTTTTAATACTATTTTTCATTGTCTGAACATTTAATTTTTACCCTATGGTTGGTAAAATGTTTAGTTCTGGAAATGTTAGATCCTGTGATTTATAAGAAATATATATTTGGTCATTCAGATGACCAAAATATATTTCTCATGTATATTTGGTTTTAGTCCATAATTCCTGAGTCACAGGTCCCCAAACCCTAGAAATTCCCTAAATGTTCAGTATGATAAGCTGTCTCTTATTATAGAGAAGTATAATGATTTATCCCACCTACGGATAAGGGCGGGTTGCCAGGAGAGCCAATCATATGAGTTGAGGCTTGGAACTTTTCAGTCCCGCTCCTGACCTCTGGGGAGTGAGGAGGTCCTGGTAGTTGAATCAGTCTCCAGCATGCAAAGATTTAATCAATTATGTGATGAAGCTTAATAAAACCCCCAAAGGACAGGGTTCAGAGTGCTTCTGGATTGGTGAGATCTAAGGGAGAGTGGCACTCTGGAGAGGGCATGAAGTTTCATTCCCTTACCCCATACCTTGCCCTGTGCATCTCTTCTAACTGGTTGTTCCTGAGTTACATACATCCTTTCATAAAAAAACGCCCTGGCCAGTTTGGCTCAGCGGTTAGAGCGTCGGCCTGCGGTCCGGAGAGACCCGGGTTCGGTTCCCGCTAAGGGCACGTACTTTGGTTGCAGTTTGTCCCCGGCCCTGGTTGGTCGTGCGGGTGGCAGCCACTCGATGTGTTCCTTTCACGTCGATGTTTCTCTCTCTCTCTCCCTTGCTCTCTCTCCCTCCCACTCTATCTGTACAAAAAATGGAAAAATATCCTTGGGTGAGGATAAAAAAAAAACCCCCCAAAAAAACCAGTGATTTTGTGAGTAAAATGTTTCTCTGAGTTCTGTGAGCTGCTCTAGCAAATTTATCGGATCTAAAGAAGGGGTCATAGCCAGTTGGTCAAAAGTACAGGTTACAGGTTCTGGCTGGTTTGGCTCAGCGGCTGGAGCATCGGCCCGAGGATTGATGAAGCGGGTTCGATTCTGGTCAGGGGCATGTACTTCAGTTGCAGTTTGTCCCCTGCCCTGGTTGGGGTTGTGCGGGAGGCAACCAGTCGATGTGGCCATCTCTTATCGAGAGAACACCCTCCCTAACCCCCCTAACACTTTGGAATTAGGTCTAGGAACACTAACAGTTAAATATTTTGGTTTACACGTTTTTGTTTTGAAAATCTGGAGATGAGTTTTTTAAAGGAAAAGACAAAGCCCTTTTATTCTGTTAATCACTTTGTAATTTAAAATTCTTTTTTTAAAAATAAGTTTCTTTATTGATTTCTTTTTTTTTGGTAGAGAGAGAGGAAGGGAGGTATAGAAACATCATTGTGAAAAAGAGGGGCATTGATCGGCTGCCTCCTGCATGCCCCTTACTGGGGATCGAGCCCACAACCCACGCATGTGCCCTGTCCAGGAATCAAACTGGGACCTCTCAGTCCATGGGCCAACCCTCAATCCACCGAGCCACACCAGCCAGGCTGTAATTTTAAATTCTTTATTTTACTTGTTAAATTGTGTTTCATGAAAGAAGAATAATTTTTCATTGACAGGGTAAGGTTATCTGAATTATTTTAGAATCAGACAGCGTATTTCATATGATGTTTGAAGCATATAAGCATTGACTAGTTTAATGACAGCTCTGAAATTAGCTTTGTAAAAATCTTTCTAGCAAATTGAGACTGAGTAGTATACTACTGTCTATAAATGATAAACGTAAACTTTCAAATATTTATGCTGGAAATAGCCACCCAAATTACTTAATTTCTGACCAGCATTTTATATGTACCAGTATTAGGATCCAGTCTGTAATGCTAGTTGTATACATATTATGTGAATAGATAAAATCAATCACCTTAATTCTCTTTAATGTTGATTGTTAGCAGTAGTGCTGGTATCAGTAGTACATCTGTACTAGTAGCGATGAAGCATAATCATTCAAAAGAGGTAATTCACAGCAGCTGTGAGTTTAAAAAGAAAATCTCACTAACAGCCTATTCCTTTTCTTTTGAGCAATTTGTTCAATTTTTTAAAACAGAAAAGCTGTTCTTTTTGTTTTTATGTAGTGTGCTCTGCACATTGTACCATACCTTTGTTGAAATTTATTTTTAGTAAGTTTTAAGTAATAAATAAAATGATAAAGTTGCCAAATTGATGAGGTTTTGGTTAGCACTGCCTCAATTTTGATGTTTTGAGGTGCGTCTTTAACTAATATATATATTTTTTAAATTCTCACCAGAGGATATTTTTCCATCTATCTTCAGACAGAGTGGGAAGGAGGGAGGGAGGGAGGAAGAGAGAGAGAGAGAGAGAAACATCTATGTGAGAAGGACACATGAATTGGTTGCCTCCTGCACGACTCTGACCAGGGACCGAACCCCAACCAAGGTATGTCCCCCTGACCGGAATCGAACCCATGAGTCTTTGGTTCTTGGGTTGATGCTGTAACGGCTGAGCCAAACCAGCCAGAACTAACAAGTATTTTTTCATACATTTTTAATATGCAATTTCAACTAAATTATTTCATGACTAAGAGCCAATCAAATTAGATTGGGAAGATTTTCGGAAGTTTTCTTTGTTTGACCCTGGACCTATAAACCAGCTACCATCAAGGTTAATTTATGTAACAGCTTTTTCCAAATATTTTTCTATTTGGCAGAATCTATTTTGATGATGATATGTACTAGATGGGTACCCCTGAATTAAATTTGGCCTTAGAATAAATACATCGAGATATAGAGCCAGTAATGGTAGAAATCGAAAGCTTGTGTTTAATAATTTGAGGGAAAATGAGAATGGAACATGATAAAGAATAAAAAGGGAGCCCTGGCCGATTTGGCTCAGCAATTAGAGCGTCAGCCCGCAGACTGGAGAGTCCCGGGTTCGGTTCCGGCTAAGGGCATGTACCTCGGGTGCAATTTGTCCCTGGCCCTGGTTGGGGTTATGTGGGTGGCAACCACTCGATGTGTCTCTCTCAAGTCGATGTTTCTTTCTGTCTCTTTCTCCCTCTCTCCCTCCTGCTTTATCTGAAGATAAAATGCAAAAAATGTTCTCGAGTGAGTATTAAAAAAAAAAAAAAGAATAAAAAGGGAAGAGAACCAAGGTCTAAGAAGACGATAAGGAGATCAGTAGAGAGAGAGGCAAATGATGGATGATGATGTATCCCCTTATTTTTTGTCATTATTATATGATCATTGAATTCTGAATAAATAATTTGAAGGTCTGAATGTTAAAAATAATAATTGACGCCCTGGCCGGTTTGGCTCAGCGGTTAGAGCGTCCGCCTGCGGTCCGGAGAGACCCGGGTTCAGTTCCCGCTAAGGGCATGTACCTCGGTTGCAGTTTGTCCCCGGCCCTGGTTGGTCGTGCGGGTGGCAGCCACTCGATGTGTCCCTTCACGTCGATGTTTCTCTCTCTCTCTCCCTTCCTCTCTCTCCCTCCCACTCTATCTGTACAAAAAATGGAAAAATGTCCTCGAGTGAGGATTAAAAAAAAAAAATAATAATAATAATAATAATAATTGACAGTCACTATATTTGTATTCTCTTGAAAGTACCCCTTTCTGAGATTTATAATGTCTTCAGAGTCCTTTGAGAAAACAGAGAAAGAACATCCTTTTGGGAACCATGAGAAATGTAGAGAAATAATAAAGAACAGTTAAGAGAGAAAGTCAAAATCTATACCATCAGCGTGCATTCTTACCTTTCATACTCATCCCTTTTCTACGTGAATGTAAGGATCGTCTTTTGAACTCTCTTGCCCTTTGAAGGGATCTGTTACCTTTGTGTGATTTCTGTGACATCTTGCATGGAACATTTGGAAAGTATTTGTTTATTGAGTTATGCAGAGTTTTCAAATGTTGACATTTATCATAGCGTTAAAAAAATTACGTTTGTTAATATCACCACCAATTTCATCAGAAAAATCTTTTCTTGGGAAGCTGTCAGTCTCATAGGAATACAGGTTTTGCAGAAGTCTAATATTCACTTAAAAGCTTCAGTTTTATCATTGGCAACAAATATGTCTTATGTCTTCTTTGAAGTGGCAGGCTCATTTTGATCATCTTGTTAGAAAATTTCTGCTATTTATCTAAATTGGAATAATCAGAATTTGTCTATGGTAATTTTTTGACATAAAAATTGTGTTCCATGAGCCCTGGCCGGTTTGTCTCAGTGGTTAGAGCATCGGCCTGCAGTCCAGAGAGACCCGGGTTCCGTTCCCACTAAGGGCATGTACCTCGGTTGCAGTTTGTCCCTGGCCGGGTCGTGCGGGTGGCAACCACTCGATGTGTCCCTTTCACGTCGATGGTTCTCTCTCTCTCTCTCTCTCTCTCTCTCTCTCTCTCTCCCTCCCTCCCTCCCTCCTGCTCTATCTGAACAAAAAATGAAAAAATGTTCTCGGGTGAGGATTAAAAAAAAAATTGTGTTCCATGAAAAAAGTCTAGTTTAGCTCACATCTCACAATCACATTAATGCTTTTACCTGAGACGGATTTTGTATGCAGCACAGTCTGTATGCATTTATCACCACAAATGGAATGCATTTTGTGATACACAATATTTTTATAAAATTGTACTCAGATTTCAAGATTTAATGAAATTGAGTGAAACTGGCCTTTAAAAACACTTGATGTGGATGAAGACTACATGATTCCTAGAACATTTTTATTCCATTATCTTGATCGTAGTTCTAATGTGCCAGCAGTTTACCCAGCCTCACTTTTATATCGTAAGTGCAGATGTCATCAGAGTGAAAAAGGCACATAACTTCTTTTTATTATTATGAAGATAGTTTCGATGTTGTGGACTCTTTGAAAGGGTCTCGAGGAGTTCATAGTTCACTCTTTGAGAACTGCTGATATAGGGGAGACTGGTTAAGATCTGTGGATTGGATCTTGGGGAAGGTGTTTCTGAGGAAATTAATTTTAAGTCCAGGAGAAGGAATGTGTGGAGGCTTTGAAGTAGGCAAAGTTGTTTGTGTTATCAGGGAACTGCAAGACCAGTATACATCAAGTATTGTGTTGTGTTCAAGGAGAAGAGGAATACAAACGGGCCAGTTTGAGACTTTAGAACCCGTTTTAAGGATTTGGGATTTTATCTCTGACCTTGGAAAGTCATGAAAAAATTTTTTTTTTAAGCACGAGAGTGATAGGATCAAATTATGTTTCAGAAATAGTACTCTGGCTGACTGTTTAAGAAATTTAAAAAATGATACATTTAGTTACATTCTTTCCATATTTATAGTTGCAAAGTCTTTTCCTGTCACTAAAACTTTAATTAAAAATAAACTCAGAATATACTTAAATAGTAGTTTGATTCATATCTTGCTGAAAGTCTTGCATGGCAGAAAAAGCGAGCTAAAGGAATCTTATTCGGGACCACACAACATTTTATTCTTTAGTTAAAATATCTGCACTTGGCATGAAACACCTTTAAAAAATTACTTGCGTTCCATTATTTAGAATAAGTGGTTGAATATTTATGAGGGCAGGCACTCAAGTAACTTATGTATTGGGTGCACAGTAGCACTCATAGAAAGTAACTCTGTAAATGTGAATTCTTTGGAGCTATTATATGTGAATGGCATTTATTGCTAGGAGAATGCCTTACTGATTTCCCCCATTTTTTCATATTGAAGGTTTCTTTTACATGTGTGACAACTGTGATGACATTCTAATATTTAAAAGTTACTTCATTTGTTAAAAAATTATGTTTTTTTGATTTATAGAGGGAGAGAAAGAGAGAGAGAAACATCGATGTGATGGAGAAACATCAATTGGCTGTCTCCTGAACCTGGGGACCGAGCCCGCAACCTGGGCATGTGTCCTGACTGGGAACTGAACCGGGATCTCAGTCAATAGGTTGATGCTCAGTCCACTAAGCCATATCAACTAGGCTAAAAGTTACTTCTTTAAAGACAAAGCACCTTGCAATTTATTAAATGGAGAGAAAGTGGCATTGCTTTCAATGCATTTATTACTCATTTCTCTCCAAAATATTTCTATGGCCTTTGTGTTTCTGGATCGGGCAATCTAGTAAAAAAAAGAAAAGAAAAGAAAACGCATTAGCTTTTATTTACACTATTAATATTCTTTTTGTTAGCATCCAGCTAACAGAATCCCATTTTGTGATTGCTGCTGGTTTAATATGCACTTTTTTCTTTTTCAGTGATAAACCTAGCCTCTTTTAGTTTGTTTTTGGGTATGTCACTTTTAAGAGATTTATGTTGACCTAAGCCTCTTTTTTCCTATTATCTCTCTTAACCAAATGTGAACTTTATATTTGGGTGAGTTTCCGCCAAACTGGAAAGAATCTGTTGGGTACACAGTTGGATAATTCAGACTGGAGGTGGCTCGTTTCCCCTGCAGTTTTCATCTTTCTAGCTAGGTTGGATCTGACAAAAAGGCACGTGAGGTCAGTGTATTAAAGGAGCAGTTAGGCTTTCCTAGCTGACCTTGGGACTTTATTTCTCATCTTTTGGCAAACACTATGAGAACGTTGTTACACGTACTTATGAAATGTATCTATACCTTCAGTTTAGATTGATATTTTAAAAGTTTTTTCATATTTTAATCTGGATTTCCCAGGAGTATTCTGATTTTAAGTATTCTATCCCTTTACTCCCTCTTTTCATAGGAATGTATTCCTCAAACATACAAATGCCTTTTTTTCAGACTTTATTCTTGTTCATATAAATACTTGTCTGTGTATCAGTTTTTGTCTATTAATTGAGCATGAAATAGTCCTTAATTTTCTAGGTATATAGCCAATCATATAATCATATAATATTCCTTTCTTTCTCAGAATTTTGTTTTTTTGGTGTGTGTGTGTGTGTGTGTGTGTGTGTGTGTGTGTGTAAGTTTTGTTCATATGAATCTGGGAGAATGGAGAAAATGGATAGTTTTGGAATTTAGATTGTAGGGGTGTTGGAGATAAAATGAGAGGGAGGCAATCTTACTCTTGTGCCAAGATAAAAGGATTATAAAGATTTTAACGACAATTTAGCCTATAGTGCAAATAACCCATGATCAAGTTTCTTTGTTTTTGAGAATGACTTCTACTTAAATGGGAACAGAGAAAGCTTTTTATACAGATTTCTTTTCAACAAGATGCCTTTTTTTTCTGCCATGGAAAAAAATGTAAAAATAGCTTTATCAGAATGCTTCTTTGTAATGATATTTTGCATGGATTTTTAGAATCTATACTCTTACTTATTTTTATTAAAGTTGTGGTAGACCTTAGAAGGCAAGTTTAGAATGTGTTAGAATTTGGGGATTTTGTTTAATAGCTGAAATTTTAAAAATTCAATTACTTTAGTTATTGAAAACTTTCTAGCCATTGTGAATACAGAGATGATTTTAAGCATAGCAGGTTGGTTTACTGTAGATAATTAGTAACTGGTATTTCCAGGTGTTGAACATGATTCATTTAAAGCCCTTCCAACAAAAAGACTGAGAGAAAGAAATGATTGAGGAGCAAATCATTAGTAGGTATGTTAGTTTGCTAGGGCTGCCCAAACAAAATACCACAAACTAGGCATCAGAAACAATGGAAGTTTATTTTCTTACAGTTCTGGAGCCTGGAAGTTTGAGACCAAGGTGCTGGCAGGATTGGTTTCTCTTGAGACCTCTCTCCTTGGCTTGCAGATGGGTGCCCTCTTGGTGCCTCTTCATGTGGTCACTTCTCTGTGCATGTGCACCCCTGGCTTCTCTTTTTCCTCTTATAGGGACGCCAGTCAGTGAGGTCACCCTAATGGCCTCATTGTAACATAGTCACTTCTTTAAAGACCTTATCTTCAAATATGGTTACATTCTGAGGTACAGGGGGTGAGACTTCAACATACAGATTTTCGGGGAACACAGTTTAGCATATAACAGTAAGCAGTGAAATCCCTCAAGGAAAACAGTACTACCTGTAATTTAAAAAATTTATTCATTTTTTTTTCTTTTATTTAATAAGGTTTGTGTAGAAGTGCAATTGTTCTGTTTTTTTTTTTGTTGTTGTTGTATATCTCCTAGCCGGAGAATTTTCATCCTTGGGCCTTCTCATCATGTGCCCCTCTCTCGATGTGCACTTTCCAGTGTGGATATATATAGGACACCTCTGTATGACCTTCGTATTGACCAAAAGAGTAAGTATATAGAAATCATACAGCTTTTAAACAGCTAAAGGTTTTTATACAGGAATTATAAGTTAATTGAAAAAAATAAAAATGTGAATATCAAAAGTAATATCTCAATTTTAAAAATAAAATTTGTTGCAACTAATCTCCAAAAAATAAAAACAAAGAAAATCTTCTATATGCTTAAAAGACAACCACAGTTTTTCTGCCAACTACAAAAATCTGTTCTATGTACTCAGTGTGCCGTAAGACTAGGTATTAGTGCCCATCACAACTTGATGACAGATCCTGGGCAGGTTATCTACCTCTGTGTATATCCATTTCCTCACTGTGAATAGATAATGGTGACAATGCCTTTATTCCCTCTCTAAAGATTCCTTATGGGAAAAAATGAGACTGGGTTGTGAAACTCAGAAAGGTGCTATGGAAACCTTAAGTGTATTTTATTTTTAAAGTGTCTTAGTTTGATTTATTTTTTCCATAGGCTTTCAAAAATCACATATTTAATTTAGTTGGGTGTCATTGTATATATTGGATGTGTAAAGTAAAGTTTTTTTTATCTTTGAATAGTATTTTTGGAGGATGGGGAGCATAACTTTAAAAATACAGAATTAGTACAGAAAATAGTGTTACAAATACTTACCATCCACAGTTGACTCAGAATTTTCTCTGCATCTGAACTCATTTACTTTTCTACCAGTAACCTTCTTTATGGACTTGGAATGTATCCTTCCAGTTTATGAAATTATATTTTAAGTATGATGTTGAGTGCTTATTCCAAGAAATTTTGCAAAATACTACTTCTGTAGTGTGAAATAAGCCATTTACAAAGGAAAATGATCATTTCTTTTTTCCGTATGTTTTTAGGCCTACATTTCCATAATTTGGGGTTTTAAGTATCATGGAGTATTATTAATTTGTTAGCCTATATCTTATTAATGAAGCTGAAGTATTACTAGCCTTGCTTTTAGGGGACATATTTTATTTTTAAAACTTTCTTGTGGCACTCAGAAAATTTTGGTATTGGATAGCCTGCCAAAGAAGGAATAGAAGATTTTTAATTAAGTATATTTTTGTAGAAAAAAGTCGTAGTATCACTGTAGTTCTTTCTTTGATATTGGTAAACCCATTTCTTGAATGTAGTTACAAAAATTTTCATCTTATCAATTATATGATAAGATGAAAACATTCATTTTTAAAAATATATTAAATTGTATCATTTTCTTGCTGTACAATATTCAGTTTTAAGTATAATTTATCAGATGGGTCTGAATTACTGACCACTCGAATATTATCTGTGGCATGGTACTGTGGTAAATTCATGTTCTGGTCTATCCCATAAGCCTTATTTTTAATTTTGAGGAAAATGGCATTCTTAGGCCAGAACCTGAGGTGGAAATAACAATCCTACATTTTATTAAAAAACAAAAGCAAAATGCAGAAGCTATATTGTTAACTTCGTGAGTAAGTATACCAGAGGTTTTTCATATCTCCGTGGGCGCTCTAGCAGCTATGCTCTTGTTAGCATGCGCTGATTCGAATGAAGGAGGGCTTAGACCTGGAGGTGATTTTCAATATAATAAAGGGAACTGATGAAAAATTTAAATTGTTACTTACATAGCTATGTAACATAAAAGTGCTGAGTAAGTTATTACATGTATTACTGTTTTGTCTGATATGTAAAAAGCTAGTTTTTTCTTTTTAAAAAATACAAATGGCCCTAACCAGTTTGGCTCATCAGTGTCGGCCTGTGGTTGTGAGTTTGATTCCCTGTCAAGGGCATGTACCTGGATTGCAGGTTCTATCCCTGGCCCTGGTTGGGGTTGTGCAGGAGGCAACCAATCAATGTGTCTCTCTCACATCGATGTTTCTTTCTCTTCCTCCCTCTACCGCTTTCCCCTCCCCCTCTGTCTCCCACCCTTCCTTCTACTCTAAGAAGCAAGGAGATATATATCCTTGGATGAGGGAAAAAAATAAAATAAAAATGGAGGGAAAAATAAGGGAGAGTATTATGTGGTATGGTACTTCTGTCTCTTGTCAAAGCATGTAGTTTTGTATTACTGGGTGGAATCTCACAGGATAAGGATATACATTAATATATTTGTTTTACTATATTTTGAAATCTCTTTAGTTTACGGAGAACTTTGGAAGACAGGAATGTTTGAACGCATGTCTCTGCAGACAGATGAAGATGAACACAGTATTGAAATGCATTTGCCTTATACAGCTAAAGCCATGGAAAGGTATATTGATTAATATAAGAAATCCCAGAGAAATCGTAGATATTAATTTCTTTGGAATTATTTTAACTAGGGTAAGATAATCATTAGGGTAAGGACATGAAAACATTTTTTGGGACGCTTAAAGCAATACAAATTTATTCTCTCACAGTTCTGGAAAATATTTTTTTATTTGAAATGAAGTAAAAATTTGAGGTTGGATTTTCTTAATGTGGATTGAAGTTGGTTTTGAATAGTTTGCTTATGAAAGCTGAACATGTGAATTGAACTGGTTATTTTATTAGGGGAAATGTCCTCCCCCGCCCCCGTGTGTGTGTGTTGGTTTGCCTGTGATTTTACTAATTAGACATTTATTTATCTTTAAATAGCAGTTATTTTCTTTTATGGTATGGTGGCATAAGTAAGTAATAAAATTTTAGATTTGGGAATAGTATTGGAAGTCATTTATTTCAGCCTTACACAAAGTACATGAATTTCTTTCATAATATGCTTGACAGATTATTTAGTGCCTCTGAAGCTCTTCCGGTGAGAGGGTGTTCAGTAGACTGTAGGTCCAGTGAGGACAGGGGCAGTGTCTGGTTTGTTCTCAACTTACACCTCAGTAGCTGGCACAGTGCCAGTCACATAGCAGTCATTAATTTATTTTGGTACAATGAAAGAATTGTTTTAAGAGCTTTCTTTTAGGTCAGTATTCAAATTAGAAAGTCTTTCTTTTATAGGTCACATTTCTCTCATTTCTTCAACCATTTCTTTTATGTGGACTTAAGATTCCGTAGACAGTTTGACTAGTTTTAAATATGATGAGATTGTTTCTTCTTAGGATTTCATTATTGTAATCTTTTAGTAAAGTATGTAGTGCATTTTAGGTTCTCAGTAAATATTTGTTAGTTAATTGCATTAATGAAGTTGAAGATTACATTAACTTTTTTGTGCTGTTGTGGTAAATGTACTGTGTGTGGTCAGCTAAAACCCAAGTATTTTTCATATTGTTAAACTGGATTATTTTATCCTCTTGTGCTTTTGTGGTTGATTTCCTTTTGACTTTACATGTGTATACCTCCTCAATTACTTATGTGTATTTTTATCTTGTTGGTTTAATCCATTATTGCAGTCTTTTTGGATCATTTCCACTGTTAATTCTGTTATCAGACTATATTATCTGCTTCTCTCAGTCTTATGTTATCGATATCTGTTCACACTGATAACTATGAGGAACTACATAAATCTGGAGACATTTCTAAAAGTTAGTGTGATATTAAATTATAAGCAGTATAATTTTAGGTTAATTGTGTTTTAATACATTCTAATTCTTCAGAAATTGTTAAAGCAATATGTGATGTTTATTTCTTGGAATGTTAGTATAATTGAATCTTTACATTTTTCAACTACATAGGATAATAAGAAACTTTTTTATTTGCTGAAATGTTTGTACAATTTGTCATTAGAAAATATATATTTTAGACTTAATAGATTTCAATACAATAGAACCAGTAAGCTGCTAGCAATATCCTTAAGGAGGTTTTAACAAAATAGCATTTTTGTTATTATTTCAAAACTAAAACATGTACATCATGTAAAATTTAGAAAAATCGAAACTTAAAACCAGCAAACAAAATTTCTGTTCATAATTTCCTATTAAATAGTGTTATATAACCACCGTTAGGTATATCACTTCTTAAGAAAACCTTTCCTGTCTTGCAGATTATATTAGGATCCCTAATATTGACTCCTAGAAAGTACCCACTACTTTCCTTTTGTAGCTAGCTTTACCTACACTCACTACATGTAGCACTTGTCTGTTACCCAATGACAAATTGCTCCAAAACTTAGTGGCTTAAAATCACAGCTGTTTTATTGCTCACAATTTTTGGGTTAGGGATTTTGGCAGGGAACACCTTGCTACAAGATGTTGACTGAGGTGGCTCAAATGGGCTAGAAAATCCAAGATAGCCTTAGTGCTGGTTTTTAGTTGAGACACCTCATTTGTTCTTTAAGTGACCTACTTTTCCATCAAATAGGGCTTTTCTCTCTTCTTGGTCTCTCTCTAGAAGGATGGCCTAGATTTCCTTACATGGTGGTTCAGGATAGCAAGGGAACAAAACAAGGTTCTTGGCCTAATAAGGCTAGATTGAAACTACATAGCATCATTTTCACTGAATTCTGTTTTTCAAAGCAGAACACAATGTCAGCCAAGATTTAAGTGAAGGAGAAATAGATTCCACCTTTTGATGGGGGAGTAGCATGTGTGGAGAGGAATAGGAGGAATTGTGGGCAGCCATCTTTGCAGATAGACTTTCACAGTTCTTCTGCTGGTGGACAATTCACATTTCTTCAACAAGCAGTACACATTCCTAAGATGTCCAGAAATCTCACTCAGTAATGATCTCAGGTTCAAAGTCCATCATCGTATGCTCTGCGTTAGGTTGGGATGTGGATGAGGCACCTTGGGTACAGATCCTTTTGATTTGGATACCTGTTAACTGAGAAGACAAGCTACACCCCCTGCCCCTTCATACACTCAATATATAATTTTGAGACAGGAAAAGTTAACCATAGTAGATACTCCCATTGGAGAGTGAAAGAATGGGAAGCACGTAGCAGTCTTTGGTCCAAAGCAATTCTGAAATCTAACTAGGGAACAGGGTATGTCCTTGATTATGGCTTAGTTCTATCTTCTGGTAGTGGCTTTATAATTCATTATTTTTCTCAGCTGTGGCTGGGTCCTCAGGCTCTTGGCTCTGCTCCCTGAAATGGGCCTTGTTTACACCTGAGGAGTAGTTACAGTCAGCTTCATGTGTGTGACAGTTTAAGAGCCTAAAAGCCTCTTTTCATTTGAAATAGTGCTGTTTTTCCGCCCCCCAACCTAACAGAACTCCATTAAACACTTTGTGAGTTTTTGTACATCAGATTATAGATGCATTCTATTGACCAGCAATTTTCAACTCGTGTGCTGTGGCAGGAACACTGGTGTGCTGCAAGAATTTTTAAAACATACCAAATACATTACTGTTTGGTCAGAGGCACTGACCTCTTTTCCTTTAGATTGTCAAATAAAAAAATGACCACTGCCAGCACAGCAATAGCTGTCTGCTGTGAACGAATCAACATTACAACCACTTTTTTTTTTGTCAGATTGGCAAAAAATGTTTTTTGGTGTTTCACAGAATTTTAGTTGTTAGTTTATGTGTGTTGTGATATGAAAGAGGTTGAAAATTGCTGTATTAGACAAAAGTCACATCCATATTTCTTTCTGGGACAGAATTCTACTTTTTCTCTAAAAAATTTTTTTCTTTATTGATTTTAGAGAGGAAAGGAGAGGGAAAGAGACAGAGAAACATCAATTAGAGAGAACATCTATTGGCTGCCTCCTGCATGCCCCCCACCAAGGAATTTGGCCTACAACCTGGGCATGTGCTCTGATCGGGAATCAAACCAGTGACACTTGATGCATGGGTCGATGCTCAACCACTGAGCCACACCGGCTGGGCAGAGCTCTACTTTCGATCCTAAGTTAGGGTACTCTAAATTTCTTAGAAGCCCAGTTGCCTACCTGAGAGAGTATGCAAGCACTGTCTTAAATCTTTCTGAGGTCTTAATAAAGGATCTCACTGACGCATTTTTGGTTTGATGATCTTGAGCTCATGTTTTATTGTCAGCACTCTGGATTTGTCCTCATGCTGTTTCTTTGACAATATTTGCTATCTGTGAAGGCTAGTTATTAGAAACAGTTATTTTCCAATCAAGAACCTCCATGTTAGAAATAACAACTTGGGGTTTGGAGATGCTGACCCCTGTGCAGCAGTCAAAAATCTTCATATAACTTGACTTCACCTAAACTTAACAACCAATAGCTACTGTTGATCAGAAACCTTACTGATAACATAAACCAGTGATTTTGAACCTCTTTTATCTCATGGCACACACAAACTAATTACTAAAATTCTGCGGCATACTATAAAATATATATTTTTTTCGATCTGACAAAAAAAAAATAGGTATAATTTTGATTCATTCACACCAGATGGCTAATTTTTATTTTATTTTATTTTTGTTACAGATGTTTCTCCTTTTTTCTCCATTGACAACCCCCCCCCCCCCCGGCCCTGACTTTGTTATTCGTGTCTATTGGTTATGCATACATGCATATAAGTTCTGTGGTTTATTACTTCCCTCCCCCCATGACCCCCTCTTCTGAGGGTTGTCAGTCTGTACCCTACTTCCGCGATGGCTAATGTTGTGTTGACTGATAATATTTTTTATTTGACAGTCTAAGGGAAAAGAGGTCAGTGCCCCTGACTAAATAGGTATTGCATGTTTTAAAAATTATTGTGGCATACCAGTTAAATATTGCTGACATAAACAATCAATTAACAGATATTTTGCATATTATATACTGTATTCTTACAATAAAGTAAACATGAGAAAAGAAGATGTTATTAAGGAAATCATATGGAAGAGAAAATACATTAGTGGTACTGTATGTATTTATTGAGAAAAATCCATGTATTTTTAGACTTGTGTAGTTTAAATCCATGTTGTTCAAGGGTTAGCTGTATTTTTTTTTTTTTTTTTTTTTTAATTCAGCTTGTAGCCCTACCCTAGTTGGTTGCAGCGTAGTTCTGTGCACCAAAAGGTAGTGAGTTCGATTCCTAGCTGGGGCACGTGTGGGAGGCAACTGATTGGTGTTTCTCTTTTACATCGATGTTTCTCTCTCTCTGTCTCTGTCTGTTTCTTTCCCTTCCTCTCTTTAAAATCAAGTAAAAAAATTCTGCTTATAATTCTTTAGCTTATGCTTTTCTTCTTATACCTTCCCATACTTGGCTATAAAGAAACCATTGATACCCTGGTCAGTTTGGCTCAGCGGTTAGAGCGTCTGCCTGTGGACCAGTGAGTCGTGGGTTAGATTCTGGTCAAGGGCATGTATGTCGGTTGTGGTTCGTCCTGGCCCTGGTTGGGGTTGTACGGGAGGCAACCAGTCAATGTGTCTCTCTCTCATCAGTGTT